CCGGCCAGATCCAGGTCAGACGACCTGGCCCGGCCAAGGTCTGACGACCCAGCCCGGCTCAGGTCTAACCGCCAGGCCCGACCCAGGTCACAGCGCCCCAGGACAAAGGACTGGCGACATCCCATGACGCATATCAAACGGTGACCCAACAGCACACGGCATCCAGCAATCAAGACAAACACAGCTCTATATGCGTACTCGCAAGGCGCTGACGCTGATTCCAGCGATGGAAGAATAGCTGCCGGTGAGGATGAAGACACGTCTCCGTGCTACATATCAACGAAATAGCTGGCAATTCAACAGCTAGCGCCACACGTTTCACTAAAAGACAGCGGCATCAAACTCTGCTTTCGCAACTGCAGCCTCGAGTAACGTGCTCAAGAGTAAATCGCGGCTGGCCGCCGCTTGGGCCTTCCAATCAATAACGACATACAAAGAGGACAGCGCTTTGCAAGTGTATTTTACATGGTTAGAATACACAATAAAAAACACCTCCATTCCTGACGACGACTGCACGCCAGCCGTGTTGAACTGATACAGACGTGGTCCAGGAAGTGATCAGCACCAGACCTCCGCAACTACCGAGCGGATACCACAGAGCAGAGGCGGACCACTACGCATTGGTCAAACTCGCGCACGTGCCGAATCTGTGCCACAGGGCTGGAGGCGGACCGCGACGCGTTGGCCAAACTCGTGTAAGTACCGATTCTGTTCCACAGGGCTGGAGGCGGACCGCGAGGCGCTGGCCAGACTCGCGTAAGTAGCGGGGACCGGGGCGGCCCGACGCTCCGCGGAGATCGTCCGGCAGCGGCGCACACCGATCCGGGCAGCGGCGCCCACAGAGAACGCAGGCGCGGCGGACAGCGCGGGCCCGACAGCGGGCGGCGAGGCTGTACAGAGACACGAGAGAGAGCGCGCGGTTCGGGGCGGGGCGACGGCGAGAGCGGGCTGGCCGGCCGGCACCTGTCCCCACTGGCGCGGGGGGCGCAGTCGGGCGGGCGGTGTCAGCCGCGCCCACAGTGACGCCGCGGTGGGGGGAGGTGACAGGTACGAGGCTTCATTGGACGGAGGACGGCGGGTGCCCTGATGGCCCGCTGGTCCCACCTTGCCTACCACGCACACACGAGATAAAACGCACAACTGTCGTCCGCCGAGTAAAACACCCCCAGCGAGACTGAGGGCCATGCCGTCACCAAATGCACCGCTCCACACAGGCAAGTTAGGGGCCATTGTACTACAGAAATGCTTAAAAGACAGACTAGGAATTATCAGAGCACCAGAAACGCTAAAAAACGTTGCAACAGAGCGCCAACGCCGTGGTGATATCCGTGTGAGGTGGCTCGGGACCCCGTCAGTCGGCAGTCGTACCTCTCATCTCCCCCTGATTCAAGCGCACGCAACGGTCACAGCAGAGCACCACTACACGTACACACAGACTCGAAACAGTCTCCTGGTTACGGACTTCGCAGGTCTGAACACTGGCGCCAGTTACTCCTCCCCATCCTGCTCTGGCGCTCCACGTCGCCTTGGACACACTGGTAAAATGGGGATTTGAACCCAAGTATCACAGAGAATTTCTCGAGTCCGGTCCACTCCGTCACTGAAAGAACAACAGGCGTCGATCAGAGGGGCGTTCGCGCGCATTGCGGTTGGGGAGACTGCCATCGGTATTGACACAGTTATAGGATGCGAAACTTCAGCTATAAGACAATGCTCCACCCTTGCGCGGCGTTCTGAACAGAAACAGTGGGAGTGCGACGTATTCGTGGTGCAGCTATACGGGGCTCCCGGCTGTGCTCTACAAGCTTTTAAGCTATTCACAGTTCCGTTTTCTCTGGGTGTAATAACTCTGGACATATCATCACATTGCATGTGGCCTGTCTGCATAATCTGCGTGTCTGCATATATGCAGTATTACGCAGCGTGTCTGCGACAAACTGTGGCTGCAGGGCTGCTGCGCCCGTCCCAAAAAGAAAAAGCTCATGCCGCTTCTCAGCTAGGTCAGGTCAACTGTCCGTCGCTCGAGTCCATAACGTGGGCATCGCAGCCAGCTGGAGAAGGGCTTCGCGGCCACGCCTGCTTGAGGCGCGCTCCTCCTGCATCCTCGTTAAGCCACAACGACTTGAATTTAAGAGCTAGTCACAAACGACAGACACGACACGTCATTTTTCCACTGGACGACAAAACTGGTCATCTGTGTACGGGCTGTGGCTGGCTGGCTGTGGTCATCTCTGTACGGGTTATGGCCGGCTGGCTAGCGGTGGTCATCTATGCACGGGTGGGGCTGGCTGGCTGTGATCGTCTCTGTTCAGGCTGTGGCTGACTGGCTAGCGGTGGTCATCTACGTACGGGCTGTGGAAGGCTGACTGTGGTCGTCTCTGTACCGGTTATCGCTAACTGGCTAGCGGTGGTCATCTATGTACGGGTGTGGCTGACTGGCTGTGGCTGCGCGGCTACCGAACTAGGGTCTAGCGCGAGACCATCTGGCAATTCCTGCCTCGCGCCCGCGCAGAGGCTGTTGCCTGACAGTCGATGCACTGCGTGCACGATCGGTGTGCAGCGTTCTGAGCATGCTAGTCCGCCCGCTGCGCTGTTCCCACGTCTGCAGAGGGCCGCCTTCGTGTGTGACTGCCGGCCGGAGGACCGTGCCGTGACTGCCAGTACCTGGGCTGTATGTGGGGGCGAGGGAACCGCCGAGCGACCGGCGGCACGCACCAATGTGATCGCCTTTGGAGGGAGGGACACCCGTTCACTGGAGTATGTCCCGTCTCCCGGGGCCTCTAGTGACGGAGCGGCTGCGGCATGGCGACAGGCGGCCCGGTTCACCTATGCCGAGGCGGGGGGACGGGGTTTGGCTCACCTATGCCGAGGTGGGGGACGGGGTTTGGCTCACCTGTGCCGAGGTGGGGAGGGGGTTTGGCTCACCTATGCCGAGGTGGGGGAGGGGGTTCGGCTCACCTATGACGAGGTGAGGAGGGAGTTCGGCTCACCAATGCCGAGGTGGGGAAGGGGGTTCGGCTCACCTATGACGAGGTGGGGAGGGGGTTCGTTCACCTATGAGAGCGAGATGGGGAGGGGGTTCGGCTCACCAAT